ATAAGTATTACCTCAAAGAATTGATATTAATAAATAAATAAAGAATTAATATTGATATATTTTGTCCTTGATAATTATCTAACGAGTTTAATGAATACTTTACAAATGTTGGGATTAGTCTCGCAAGCAAAACTATACCAACTTCTACGTCATTTAAGACATATCTAAAAAAATCAACAGATGCAACAATGTATGATTATTATTTAACTTTTCTTGAATTTGACGCAGCTTAATTTTTTATTTAAAAAAAAATAAATCTCAAGGGTTTGATGAAATCCCCAGTAATCTATCTAGCAAAAACAGCATTACAAAACCTTTGTTCCACATTATAAACCTATCTTTAGATCAAGAAGTATTTCCTTGTTTACTTAAGCTTGCAAGAGCGTACCCAATTTATAAAAATAATGATCGCGCCAACGTGCCAAACTATACCCCATATCGGTACTTTCTGTTTTCTAAAAACCTTCAAACGTGTATTTTATAATGGAATATTTGATAACTTTTCAAAAAAAAAAATTGCTTAATCCAAAAACAATTCGAATTTCAAAAAAAAAACATTTAACCGAACATTCCATTATTGAATTAGTCGACCAAATAACAGATGGTTTTGAAAATGATAAGTTTACTCTCGGAGTTTTCATAGATTTATCCAAGGCATTCGACACCATTGAACACTTTATTCTGTTAGAAAAACTAAAATGGTACGGGGTATGCAATAAGTTATATCATTGGATAAAAAGTTATCTATCCAATAGAAAATAATATGTTCAAAACAAGAAATCCGGAATACTGAATATTCTGTGTGGATCAATCTTAGGACCGCTCTTATTTTTAATTTATGTTAATGATTTTAATTTATGTTAATGATTTTAATAATGCATCAGTAAAATTAAATGCTATAATGTTTGCAGACGATACAAATCTATTTTTATCTAACTGCAATAATAATCAACCATATGCTGACATGAACATTGAATTAGAAAAAGTAAATGATTGGTTCAGGTCAAATAAACTTTTGTTGAAAAAACATAACACACCTTGTTTCATAAAAAAATACAAGAAGAAAACCTTCCTCTAAAATTGCCAAAACTTATTATAAATTATAAACAAATTAATAAACAAGATACTATAAAGTTTTTAGGAATTATTGCGGATGATCATTAATCATGGCTCCCACATATAAAGTATATACAATCAAAAATTAGTAGAACCATTAGTATTATGTATCGAATTCGCCCATACATAAATTCACATAGTCTAAAGCTTATATACTTTAGCTTAATTCATTGTTACATTACTTATGCAAATATTACGTAGGCAAGTTGTCAACCAACAAAACTTAAAAAAGTTCTTTCCTTACAAAAACATGCTTCTAGAATTATATTCAACAAAAAAAGGGGGACCACACTAAACCTTTAATAATGGATATGAAAATGAAAACATGTATCAGATAAATATTTACCAACATTTAAATATAAACATTTATATATATACATGCATATATATGTGTGTATGTGTATGTGTATATATATGTTTGTGTATGTATATATGTATTGAAATATATATATTTTTTGACTATTGGCATCTATTTTTATTTTTTAATAATATATATTTTTTATTCACTATATATATTTTTAAATATTATATATTTTTTTTGACTAATTAAGGGTGTTTTAACTTTTAATTAACACATCTTTTTTTTTCTTAAATATTATATCTTCTTTTTTTACTATTTCGCTTTTTTTCAAAATTTTCTACTTAATTTAATAACCATATATTACTATTATTGTTATAATCTGTAGGAGCTTTATGAAAAGATTAGGTTGGTATATTGCTACCCATATCCTCTTTGAGCTTCTGTCTGTTTATTATTTATACATTTGTAATTATAATATATTTTTTGTGAAATAGTTTTGTTTATATAAACAGCAAAATAAAAGTAAAAAAAAAAAAAATTTCCAACTTTTAAATTTTGAATAATAAAACTATTTATTTATTCTACTTAATTTATTAATTTAAAAAAAAAATAAGAATTTCTTTTGCAAAAATTAGAATTTTTTTAATAACTTTTGCAAATAATTATAAAAAATGAAACTTGATGTCAAATATTTAACATTTGTTTCAAGTTAATATTTAGTTGCTTTAAAGCAAATGAGAAATTTTTTTTCATTACATTCGCCGGCGGGAGGCAAACATTCCCACATCCAATTTGGCGCCCGCAACCAGTTGGGTGGCAGAAGCCATTGGAGGCGGCCTCTAAATGATTCTGCATCCACAATTGTATATATTAATGAAAACATCCCTTCAAGAAGGTTAAATAAAGTAGTTCTATACCTAATGATGTGCAAGTCATTACTTTTGAAATTATATTAAAAAATCGAAAATGTCTATTATTAGCTATTTATAAGCCTCCATCTCAGATAAATGATTATTTCTTCATTTACCTTAAAAAACTTTTATTTGAAATCCTTTTATGAATTTATTATAAAAAGCGGTAGTG